CAATGCAGAGATGCCGAGTACCGATGGAACTGCAGGTAGAAATACGCAGAATTTTACAGATAAGCTGATCTCGGTTTTCCAAGGATTTTGTTGGAGCATATGGCAATCACTGTGGTCCTATCTGATTCTTTCTTGAATATCTTCTCCCAGTTACCCGTCAGTGGTATTTAAGTGTCCATGAATGGATAACTTGATGACATGAGGCACATCTTTCACGCTGCTGCCATGTTCTCCCCCTCTCTTAGCTGACAACGGAAATGAGACATACGTTTAAAATTCATAATCTGTAAGCTAGGTGTAAATTTTAATGGCATCATTAAGAAAAGATTGAGTACAAGCCTAACATTTATGATGAATGCTTGTAAATTCATTGGGGTACGTACGTTGGCGGGTACACAGAAAGAGGCCATCCAAGAGAAGTATTAAAGACCTAGAAGTAACATCCATGACTGATAGATGGCAGATAATGATGATACCATATCTGCGATCAGTGTACTCTACCTTCCTAATGCAAAAATATAGGATTGTTAGAACAGAGTGGTACCTCAAAAATAAATTTCAAAAAATGATATTGTTGCTCATTGCGGCGATTAAGTTATGGTTATTCAGAATATGAAACGCTAACTTAGCGATGTTGCTTATTTCTAGTTTACGGTGGCGATCGGAGTCGCCCATTATCCGAGCACTTCTTCAGAAGATCTGCCCGTTGCCGAGGAGGTAGTCGACAAACTGCTCATTCCCGTCGATGACATCGTTACTCTGACGACAAAAACGGACCTCGACTCGGTTTTTAAAAGTAACTTTTACTTTTCTCGTTATGTTTGACTTTCGAAGCAAAGTCAAACATAACACGTTCTACGTATTCTTTCCTTTTCAACTATCAGCTGCTATCTGCTCTTGATAACTGACTTAAAATCCGCTTAATTCAAAACATGATAAATGATACTGTCTATTAAGTAAAAATGCAAATATGGAATACAACTCTGCCGTTGCCGGTCAGAAACCCTAATGAGAAAGGAACGCTGTTTGGAACTCCGATGAAGTGTCCTGTGAATCTTAGCCACTTGTCTTCAAAGCTTGGTTGTTATCGAATGGCTACCATTCTAAGCAGATCTACCTGCTAAGCAGGTAGCAGGGTGTGGCATGTCAGCTCAGTTGTCTAACAGATCTGCATCAAATTTCGTAGATGCAGTGTGCGATTCCGCTGGAGGGCAGTCTTTCTATTATTCATGAGTTTTCGTTGAGCAAGGAATTGCCCCACTTTGCAGCAGATCGGAGTTGCTCGGTCGGCGGAGCGGCGAACTCACGGCCGATAGACCCCGAGTTCCAACCCGGCCAGTGTCACTCTCCCTACTTCCTTTCGTGGCTGGTAAAGGAATACCGTGTTGTGGGAAAGAAACAGAAGATTACTCGCTAAGCTTGGTAATGGATGCAGATTCTGCCTATAAAAATAAGACACTTTTGAGATGGCATAGAATCAGAGATCAGCATTGCACCCGATCAGCTTCATGAAAAGAAGTGCTACAAAATGGCCCAATCATGAAAGTGAAGGCAGGCCGACATTCCAACGGTGACAAAAGCTTTCCTTTTCTTATAAGCGGATTCTCGCTATACGAAAGTTGAAAAGTTCTAAGAATACTTGTTGCATTACATCGCTGGCTAGCAGTTTTTGGATTCGTAATCGGCCTTCGATGCTACTGCAGTGATCGAAGAGAGTGATTTTCGCCGTTCTTTTCTCGAACAGGCAATCCCATTTTTCTCTTTGTCCGTGTTCAACGTTGTGGTTGAATTTCTTTCAAGGAAAGTTCAAGAGGATCTGGGCACTGGTTTTAAATTAATGCTTTATTAAATTTAAATTTATTTTGTTTAAATAGTTTAAACAAGAGCAGGGAATACATAGCGCTTGATTTCATTGCAAGATCCGCAATGATTTTGCATCTCAACACGTCGAGAGGCTTGTAGCGTGAGTCAAACTCGGCGTGGTTACTACCGTTTCGATTCTTACTGGAATCCTTGCCTTATTTGGAAGAAAATGTAATGGCGTTCCTGTTGCGTTAATGTTGCAAGTGTAGATTGGAATACTAACTGTAAAATACACTGAAGAACGAAAATTTAACGATTAATCAGTATTATTAACGGAGTTCATCATACTGAGCTGATCCTATCTTCTTTTTGTTTATGAGTGAGTACGACGTTGGGTCGAATGAGTCACTGGGTGAAATAATTTGAACTGACTGCGAGGGGCAAAGTGCCCGCGTCCGCAGCGAAATTCCTCTTTTCTGTTGGGATTGCTCAGTCAGTATAGCTGTGGAGCCATAACAGAAGTTTCGGTTTCGAGCCCCTATCGGGTCGCTCGTTTCTTTCCTCCCAAGGTTGATAAATGAGAATTGCGCTGTGAAAAAGAAACAGGAGATCATTTACTGTGCTTGCATACTGGCTATAGATTCTGCCATTATAGTAGGACATTCCTGGCTGATGGTGTAGAAGGGAAGATCAGCGCCGTACTAATGTCATGATGCGTCATGGAATGATGGACCCACAAATGGCCCCCATTTATGAAAGTGTAAGGAAATCTAACATCCCAAAGGTGCAAACTTTAGTTTGGCGTCGTAACTTCGTTTATAATATGTAAATATCAGAAAGAGGGTCTTGTTGAAGGGAAATCTTCAAAAAGTTAGATTCCCCAAGTCAGTTGCTTTTCTCATGCGGTTAAGACGTTCCAATTTGTGATTGGCTTTGAGCTTTTCTTTTATTTGTTTT